TGGTTCTCACCCCCGCTCCTCGGAGCTTGCGTCACTCACATTTCCTGTTCAAATCTTCCTCTAAATGGGCGTAGCCTGGAGGACTAAAGGGGGCGTGAACGAGACTGGGCCGTTTATATAGCTCTGGGCGGGGGGCTGCTGATGTCAGGTCTCAGGCGCCAGATTCAAAATTCAAATGTAGTAATACAGGTCGCCAGCAGATGGCGCCTCACAGATGGTTTTAGGCAGAAAGTTTAACTTTCAACTAATTTGCACCAAAGTGACAAAATTATGACCAGGATATGTAGACAACACTATTGGACACTCATTTATACCGTTCATAAGCAAAAAAAAGTGGATTTGAGGGTGAGTTGTCCTTTAAATCCACATTTTACTGCCACAAACTCTACTCGTCTGGCTCTCGCTCTAACTGTCGCTCTGATCAGCAGCTCTGATTGGTCAGAGCTGCCCCTCTGTGCACGTGCATGACAGCCACGCAAGCGTATTTGGCGCAAAGCATAATGGGAGCTCGTCCACTGCGCAGAACCGGGAGGACCAGACGATGCCCAAAAATAGGCGAGTTCCGCTAATCTCTCAGGCTCGTGAAGTCAGCTGATTCACTGTTTTGCCAAAGCCAAATTCATGAACAGAGCAGGTCGGAGCATGAGTGGGGGCATCATGGCTCCTTGAAGTTACTAACAAACTTTTGGCACAAACTTCATTTTGATTTTTTTTTTCATTTAGACAGTAATTGTTGCTGTTTGAATAAATAAAAACATCTTAGATCATTGTTGTGTTTTATTCTGCATTAACAAAAATACTCCTTGCTTTAGATTAGGGTACTGCAAAATAGTGTTATAAGCAGTTTATTAACGCATATTTTAGTGGCCTATTACCACTATTGCCTATTAATAAGCAGCGTATTAATATCTTTATAGGCATATTGTTAGTGGCCTATTAAAGCTGCACTAACTGACTTTGGGATTTTGAAGCCGCAGACTCGCTGGCCTCTCTCTTTCACCTCCCCTCCCCGCACCCACGAAGCTATCGCCCCCCACACACACACACTGTTGGGACGGAGCTAGTGTCTCCCAATATGGATAATACATGAATATGGATTTGCACGTGGATGGCGTGACCATAAAACGATAGAACCGGGAAGCGCGGAGGAACGGGACTTTCTTTTGGATGGCTGTTTCGCTGTGTAAGCAGTGACCGGTGATGAAGACACGAAGCTTCAGGTTAGCTCCTCGGCTTGTTGTGCTAACTCAGCCGTCTATGCTAACGGACCTGTAGATTTCTCACGAAAGTGGGGGCCAGTGGTCCGCTGTGATTGGTCACAATCTGCGACCCGAAACACATTCTCTTCCTTGTTTCATCAAAACTCGATCTAAAATATAATGTCACGCCAGCACAAATCTGCGCTAATTATTCTTCAAAAGGACGTATATCCCAATGCACTACATGGACATGGATAGCATTTTCGTAATGAATACGAAAATAAAGTCAGTTGGTGCAGCTTTAACATGGTATCGATAATAGTTTAATAAGCAGCTTATTCATATATTTATAAACATATTCCTCCTTTAATAAGTATCTTACTAATTACTTATTAAATGCTTAAAAGCATAACTAGAACAACATCATTTAGAGAATAGTGAAATGAGCAGCTTATTAATATGTTCATAAGTACATATAAGCAATATATAAGCATGTTGCTAATGTCTATTAATACCTTATTAATACTTAACAAGCACACCTTAATATAAAGCGTTACCAATACGGTATATACACATAATATCATTTTACTGTATTTATTATTGTCTATTCTCAATAATGCGAACTCTCTGACAGTCTTTGTCTGAGTCCCCGTGTGTGTAAACAACTTTAGATGCGGCTGTGCCTGGCTCACGGGGCACCGCTTGAAGATCCGTTTGGGGGACTGACTTTCATACACACGTAGTTTATCCCCCGTATGTAGCAGAGACAAAGCGAAGGCAGTTTCGGAAAGGCTGGAATGTGTACTTCACGGAGATAAAAAAAAAGTAAGTCGCTAGCGTTCACCGTTCGTGAGTAAATTGATCATTTGTAAAACATGTGTGCCACCATCGTCGGCGATGGCATCGTCTTTTAAGGGTTAAAGCGTTCAAGAAATGCACGTAGGATTTTAACTAAGTGTACTCTTTTTCTTTTCTTTTTTACAAATGAATATGCCTAAAACTAACAATAATTAAATGATATGTCCTTCGCATTGCCCCATTCCTGTTTGCGGCCTCTCAAATGTCTCTCTCCTCCGTCCACACAGGACCAATGCGAAGGCCGGACCTGGATCAAATGTATCACTTAAAAATCCTCACGCAGACAACATGATGAGGTTAAGTGATACCATCCATATAAACGTGTTTGTTAAGCGGCAGAGACGTATTAAGTGTAAATCCTACTGATCCACAAGATACAAGCTGAATGGGGAAACGCAATTACGGAAAGACACAGGTGCCGCGGACAGGACTCTGAGACTGATCTGCCTCACGAGACGCCCGGTAGCGCTCACAAATGCAAAGACAGACGGGATCATGGTTCTGATGCGTGTTCCGTGGACATCGGGTTTACTTCCTGCCAGCAGTGCGCACAGAAGATCAGAGGCATTGCACACGGACTAAAAACATCATGCCGGGTCCTAGCCTGGAAAAAAATGTTGCTGGTCGAGTTAGGACAGAATTCCTTGCTGATGCAGGAGGGTCTAAGGACAGTGGTGATGATCCAGGACATTCAACAGTAATACAACAATTAAGGGCTTAACATTTTAGGCCTGATTACAACCCCTTTACCCACATGCCAGGACTTATCGAACACGTTTTCAGGAAAACATGTTTTATGAATGCACCATGATATGTAACAGTGCGAGTTGGAGCATTTTTACACCATAGGACTCCCACAATCATGAAACTACTAGAACACCTAGAACTTTTCCCAAATATTTTTAGTTTGTCTCCAGATTGATGTTTAGCAATTAGGTTATCAATTTATAATGTGTTTAGATTTACTCACTTGTAATAAGTGCAAAAACTGGTGAATATAACTTGAAATGAAGCCAAAACAGTTTGTGGAAAGGCTTTTGCTAAAAACCACATGCTAACTGTTGACAGTAAACCATGTGTTGCTATAGTAACTGACACTTTCGTTTCTCTACTGGAAAACCAGACTGAACCAGAAGCAGTCCAGAACTAGCTCATTTCTACTGCCATAGAAAGAAAGCACATGAAAACAGCGACATTTAAGTAATAGATAGAAATACAATCATTTCAAAAATGAAAGATAATTTCATAAAAATAAACTGCACAGAGACAGAAAAAGTAACTAAGTTATGAAGACAAAAAAGGTGCACACGCAGAGATGTCCGATTGACTAAGTTCTTGTGTTAACTTTTGCAAACCTGTTTTCTGCAGTCTGCCTGATTTAGAGCAACATGGACAGAAACTCGTAACTTCACGCTTTTCAAACAGAGGACAGAGATGCCCTGGGCTTTTCTTATTCACTTTGTGAAGGAGCTAAGACTATAAACGTGCTACTGTTTATTCCCACGTCACATGTGCTTTAAGCCAATGTCATTGAAACCCACTGCAGATATAAACACCCACAATCATCAGGTAACTTCTAAAGACCCTCGTGTCACTCAGAAAAAAGTGTGCACAGAACAATTTTTTATTCAAATCCAGTGGTCATTTGTAAAAAGAATTATACGTGTTTTATGTGGTGTCCAACCTTTTCCCCAGGACAAAAGTGGCATTGAGCTACTTCTTTAGACAGTTGAGAGAGGGTCAATGTATTCGTGTGCTACAATAAATAGTAGTAGTAATAGTTTATACCCTAATTTCAATACATTTTGACATTCTTAAAAGAAAAAATAAAGGATTTCCCAATGGAAGAAACAGCTGTAGTCTTATGTCAAGCATGGTATGGCAAATATTATTTGTTCCATTGGTAAATCTTGTTTCACGACTGTCACAATGTTCTGTACATCATTTAGCAAAACTTTGACATTTTTACAATCAGTCTTATACCCATAAAACAAGGATATGCAATATTGTAAGCATGAAAAATTATCCTCTGGCGAGATACTGTGAAGAGGGTGGCGCGCTACTGGTGGCTCCCGTGCTATAGGTTGGAGATTTTCTCTCACTTCATAATTGTCTGTCACATGAAATATAACATATATTATTTTGCAAGGCATGTATACCCTTCATGTTATCACTGTTCACTGGATATCCCTGAAGTGACCACTGCTCCTGACAGGTTGCTCTTATGGCATTGGAAGTTAGGGACAAATGAGGACATTTTCCCATAAGTGGACAATATAGTGCACAATATAGAGCACCTTGACCTTAAATTAATTTAGCGCTATGTCACCAGATATTGTTGACTTCCACCATGTAAGTGGGGAGTTATTAAATTAACTTGTGGCCTCAGTGCAGTATTTATAGCCTGTGGTCATAGCGGTACAGTCAGGACTCCACTAAACACAACACAGCAGTCACTATGTCTGCAGGGCCAGTCATCTCCTAGCCTTGGATCCAGAATGATGGTTTGTATTCTGCATTATCCCCACTATGTTCAATTTATTCTTGTATAGTGCTAAATCATAAATAAATATGTTCAAATACAGGAAATGGAATGGTTAAAAAAAATCACATTGAGCCATTGTTCCATACGGGGAAGATGACCAATGTCCATACATTTCAATAAATGTCCATAAATGTACTGTTCATGGATGTGTTGGATGGTGGGAGACTCAATGCCTCCGAGTCTCTCACAATCCAATACATTTCCTCTACCGGCCAAGACTCTATTTCCGCAAGCAAACTGGAAGTCACTTGTCAATGCTAAAACTATAGCATTTTCACATCACACTGAGACAACTATAAGCTTCCTGTACTTTATCTTTGGTTATGTCAGCCTTAGTTCTCCAACATGTTGCTGTTCATTGTTCATTTCCCATCCCACAAGTGACAAGCCACAATTTGTCACGGCAGGGGAAGCTCAATCTTACCTCCCAGCGTGGCCGACAGCAGGAAGTGTGTGCCGTATTTGCGGATGAGATTCTCCGTGATGCTCTGAGTGGACGGTCTTCTGCCCAACATGCGGATGTTCCTGATGAACTCCGGAGTGAGGGGCAGAGGAGAGGACAGGAAGTCTCTGCGCTCTACCGCCAAGTTGTTCACCTTCCATCGACCGAACTCCCTGACAAGCAAACACAAAGCAATGTCAGGTGAGAAAACTTTTTACATGAAAGTTAGTTAGTTAATTCAATTTATTTCAAACCTGCAGAACACAATTTCACATATCCTTACTCTAATGCAGGCTTGAAAAGGAGTTGGTCGAAGCATTCATGGGGTATAAGACACACCCGAACATACACACATACACCGGCCCAAAAACTCTCTGACATTACCCCTCTCTCCCAAACCCTGCTCTGTGCTGAGGGCATCACTGTCTCTCCTGACACAAAGTTTTTCATTGAAACTAAAGAGTAAGTAAGTTATATTTACTTATATAGGGCATTTTAGAAGGACGTACAAAGCGCTTTACAATGTCCAGAGTTCAGATATTTTTCCATCCTCTCCACACTGACGCATGAAAGCCCGCAACCAACACCATCCATTCACTCACTCATTCATTTATACCTATTGTACATGTTTTTAGTGGTACACCCAGAGGAAACCTACGCAGCAGTACAGTGGCGGTGGACGTTCTTTTGTATTATTATTGTTACAACAAGCACAGATCCATATTTTACATTTATTGATGCCAAAATCACTAGTTGAACAATTCGTTTCAGTTAGTCAAAAAAGTAAATAATGATTTTTCCGGATGGCTTCATTTCAACAGTGGAGAGGGAGCAAATCCATAACGGGCAAGGACAGAGTCAAAATACATATTCAGTTTTCAATATATATATATATATATATATATATATATATATATATATATGGTCCGAAATGTCAAGGATGAGGGAGCATTTAGTTCACATCATATATTGAATACATGCAAAAAACATACAGTGCCTTGCGAAAGTATTCGGCCCCCTTGAACCTTTCAACATTTTGCCACATTTCAGGCTCAAACATAAAGATATAAAATGTAATTTTTTTGTCATGAATCAACAACAAGTGGGACACAATTGTGAAGTGGAACAAAATTTATTGGATAATTTAAAATTTTTAACAAATAAAAAACTGAAAAGTGTGGCGTGCAATATTATTCGGCCCCTTTACTTTCAGTGCAGCAAACTCACTCCAGAAGTTCAGTGAGGATCTTTGAATGATCCAATGTTGTCCTAAATGACTGATGATGATAAATAGAATGCACCTGTGTGTAATCAAGTCTCCGTATAAATGCACCTGCTCTTTGATAGTCTCAGGGTTCTGTTTAAAGCACAGAGAGAACCATGAAGACAAAGGAACACACCAGGCAGGTCCGGGATACTGTTGTGGAGAAGTTTAAAGCCGGATTTGGATACAAAAAGATTTCCCAAGCTTTAAACATCTCAAGGAGCACTGTGCAAGCAATTATATTGAAATGGAAGGAGTTTCAGACCACTGCAAATCTACCAAGACCCGGCCGTCCCTCCAAACTTTCATCTCAAACAAGGAGAAGACTGATCAGAGATGCAGCCAAGAGGCCCATGATCACTCTGGATGAACTGCAGATAACTACAGCTGAGGTGGGAGAGTCTGGCCTTTATGGAATTTCTAATTAACAATTTCTAATGCAGAAATCTCCGGACTCCTTTCTTTTCAGACATCTTAGATCAGGGGTGTCTGGACTGTTTAGGGCCACTTGTTCAGGGGTCACCAACATATTTTGTAAAACTGTTTTGACGCGAAATGGGGTGATCTGGGAATAGGTTTATATTGATTACACAACAATTAGTGACATAATGTGGAATTCTGGTATATAGTAAAAAACAAAAAAAATCAGTAGCTAACCTTAATGACTGGATTCCAAAAGAGGAATAAGTCTGGTGCTTGTGTGAATGGTTGATGATGGTCAGAGGGGCCGATGGCACACACTGGTTGCCTCGCTGTCAGTCAGGGCCCTGTGAGTCAGGGCCCTATGGCTACAATAGAACTTTATCACAACTGTGTATTAACTTAATGAATAAGTAAAAATGTTTCAAAAGCTGACTGTCCAGACAAAGCGCTGTATAAAACCAATACAGTATTATTATTGGTCCTGGGCTTCACAACAAGGTATATGACTACGTGTGTGGAGCTGAAGTTGGCTGGATGACATTGTGGAAGTACCTCAACGTCTAACTTGGCCACGTACAATGACACAGCGGGCTGCAATTGGCCCACAGGCAGGAGTTTGGATATGCCTGACTTAGATCAATACTGAGATATTCCAAAAATAAGTCGTTAAAGCATGAACTGTTATTACAGTGCAGTAACACAACTAGACACCTGCCAGAAACATAACATTCAGTTTATCAAGGAACACAAACAACTGCAAAATTAACCACTTGCTAATTGCGAATTGTGATTACTCTTGCAGCACTATTGCACATTTCTGCGTCAAAATTCATCACGGATTTACAAGGTGAAACGTTAAATAAAGCATGTCCGACAGCTCGGCTCTCCGTGTATTTGTCCCGTGGGATTTGAGCGCGCACACAGCTGACAGATGTTTTCTCTAATAGCCCCATCATGACAGCACCATACATCCAAATGAACGAGGCGCAGTCACACAAATGGCCTTATTTTTCAGGTGCTCGAAGTAATGAGGAGGACAAGAGGATGGAGAGAGCGGAGCGGCAACGCGACGTCGCCAGGGTAATGCGTTTCTGTGTTGAGAAAGTCTTCAGAATAGGTACATGAGTGGCTCTAATCTAACAGGTATTAATGTCAAGAATGATTTGGATGTGATGGAAAGTGAAAAGAGAGGATGCTTCAGCTGGGTATGTTCCAGAGCACGTTACATGGGACTTTACATTTGATTTGACAAAATATGTTTCTAAAAGATACAATACAATAAAGACTTTTGGTCCAACGATCCTCCGCTCCATTTCAACAATAAAACAACATTATTGGGTTTTTTATATTTTAATAACAATTCATCTTCAATATTGTAAAGTAAATAATCCATGTATATGAATAAAAAAACTGATGCAAAAAATGTGAAAAAAGAAAACATTACTTATTTAATATAACTCAACAAAAATAACTCAACAATTAGACACACGCACACACAACGTGCAAACACCCCTAAATCTACAGCATATTCAGAAAGGAATTGGTTTCATTATGCCTATAAAAACAAGCTTTTTGTGATTTTTGACAAGTGAAGCGAAAGCTGAAATTCAAACTGTCAGCTCTGTCCTGGTCCAGAGTCCGGAGAACAAGGTCCAGCTGCAAGGTGCGAGCATCAATGATTCATTACTGCACTGTTCGATGCAGAAATGTGTTGTAGGATGATGAAAAGTGAGAAGAAAAGTGAGAACTGTTGCTATAGTGAACATATATGAATGACTTGGATTTTAGTTTGTCGGACTAGTTAATTCAAGGTGTGTCTGCAGTACAATACACATACATAGTATACATAATATATCAACGTCAGTAATAAACTGCGGCTGCAAACTAAAATAGTGGGTGCAATAGAGACTACTTAGGACTAATCAGCTGGAACACATATCCCAAAATTTTGAACAGCATGCAGAACAAAGAGTCCTTATAAGTGGAAAGAGTGTCAGCAAAAGGGAAAGCTAATTATCGTGCAATTTGACAACAATGGTGAAATGGTCCAAAACAACCACTATGTTAAGCTCAATATAATATTCTCTAGTGGAATATCCACATTCTTCCGCATGTAGTCTTTTTAGGAACACTTGAGAATATATATACTTTATATACAGTGTGTCAAAATCATGTGTTTTGTTTGTGTTTTGTTGTTCAGGTTTGCAGATGATCCTCCCAGACTACCTGCAGGAGAGCTTTGTGCAGGCCGCCCTCAGCTACATTGCGTGTAACGGAGAGGGAGACTTCATGTGCAAAGACAACGACTGCTGGTGCCACTGTGAACCACAGTTCCCAGAATGCAACTGTCCATACATGGACATCCAGGCCATGGAGGAGAGTCTGCAGCGGATCACGCAGACCTGGGGTCTCATGTACAAAGAGTTTGAGGAGTCAGGTACAACTGCAGCGTTGACTTGTTATGAACTTATCATAGATGATTTTGGAACGATAGATATATTGTTAGAATAAGATCGTTGTTTATGTAACAACCTCACTTGTAATTTTCCAAAAGTAAAAAAATCCCTTCATCCAAAAACATTCCTGTCATTATCACTGACCCGGTGGGCCATCTGCCACAAGGAACAATCACGCTTCCTTTAATTGGCCTTTTTGCGTAGGAAGCTAAAGATGAAGAGAGCCGTCATTCATCCCACAGTGGGGGAACTTAGGGAGGTTCCTTGGAGGTCAAGGTAGAGGTAGGAGATTCCAGGAGGATGTATGTTATGTATGTATGTTACACAAATGTTAAATACATTTGCATACGCTTTACATGAAATTGACTTCATGAGTAGAAGTGCCATACACCTTTTGTAGTCGTGTCTAATGTCGTTATAATGAGTTTAACAACGCTTTGCACATAGTTATTAGGCACAACAAGTGAACTCTGTGTGGATAATTTGCATAACAAACACTGGATAGTCTAATACCATCTCTGCTGTTGGCTAGAGGATTTAGAAGAATATTGTGTTCTTCATACGTGATTTGTCAGAACCGAAACCACTGATCTAAGTCTACAGTATATTTCTGTGCTGTTTAATATGCTGAAACTACTTCATGGTTAAACTTCACATCAGCATCATTTACCTGTTGGTTTGAGCTGTGTGTTCATTGATGTCCTGTTTATGGATGCTATCGTTGATTTCCTTGGTAGCTGCTGTGTCCGCCTGGTTAGAATGATCTGATTCATTTAGGGCAGCGGCAGCTTCTTTCCGCACTGCTCCTTACTTCAAGGTTGACTGTAACTGAAAGGTCAATGATAAGCAGCAGTGAGGAATAGGAAGGAGGTATTTTTGCCATTCTTGGACCAAGGGAAAAGCTTAATAAAAATAAAAAAATTGAGTTGAAAGTATATTGGCACAATATCATGATTATATTTTATTTAGTTGTGTATTGTATATAACAGTATAACGCGATGTTCTCTACAAACTTAAACAACTCATCAGTCTATTAGTCTTGAATGCAATGTGTACGAGTTGAAGTTACCAATGCTCTTGTGCTTGTGGGATTTTCAGTTCCTTTGGCAGTAAAAGGAACATCATTGTATCCAATTCCACATCAAGCGTTGGAGTTAATCCTGGCTTCTATCTGCAGTGGAAACCCATTCATATGCTTGTGCGCTCTCTGACTGGTACAACATTGGTTTATGACGCTAACACAATGGCTGGCTGTCCACATGCTATGAAATAAATTAAAGCAATGACTTGAGATTAAAGCTAAACCAACGGCTCATGTTTAATACATGTTCATTAAGGATTAGACCACGCTTTACATAATGTTGTGATATCATCGGAGACAGTGAAGTCTCTTCCAAGGTCCAAACATTTTTTTTTCATTAACCCTCTCCAGGCAGGCGTTGCAGATTTGCAACAACTTCATTTCTTTTTCCCTAACTACTACATATTTTTGTCCCTTTTTTACTCAGAAGTACCACTGCTGGACTTGGTTGAGCTTTAGCAACACACAGCTTTCCACCTGCTCTCCATGAGCAGAGCTCTCTCACTTCCAAAATGTCAGGCTCCTTGGTTACACCAAAAAGGATTGTATATTACTACCCCATATGATAATTTTCCCCAAATATCAGATTTGTCCTGTCATTCAAATTTAATTTGGCCCTGAGAGGGTTTATGGTACTTCAATTACAACCAACATGAGTTGCCATTGTTATTACAAAACTGAAAACGGAAGACTGCTGCTTATCAGACTGAGCTCATAACTGATCAAGGCAACACGCTTCATATGTTTTTACATTATGCAGCTCCAGTGTTTCTGGCTCCTGAGTCTCTGGAGATGGGTCCCAGGGGGCTGCACTGTAGTCACCACCGATCCTGACATGTTGGCCTCGTGCCATTGGGTCAGATCGAGGCTCATTCAAGATTCAAGAGTGTATTTGCCATTTGCAGTAAAACCACATTGGAAAAACTGTGCAAGATTACCCCAGTGTGCACCAGCTAGTACACACGGGAGCCTCTGCCACTGCACAATTTTTGGATAATGAACTTAAAAACCATACTGTAATGTAATGGTGCTCTATTAGCATATTTGACCTTGTAGTGATGGAGTTGCTGTATGAGTCGTCAGTTACTGGTCTTTACTTTCCATCACATTCAATTGGAAGATTTTCTCTACTGACGGACCCGTGCACCAGAAAACTGAGGCACCATAACGGCCACTCTTACAGACCCTTGGTCACTACAAGGTCCAAAACACACAAAAAAATTGTATAACATTCCTTTATTATATATGACATAAACATGTCCATTAAATCAGAAATAGCCAACAATGATTTGTGTCTGAGCCACAGATGAAAATGTACTGTAGATGTAATTTAAAATAAAACTTGTACATACTGTCCCTAACTACTTCTACTACTACTCCTACTACAACTAAAATTGTACAAGAATGCCTGTTCCTACTTTTTTGTCATTGGTATTTCTACTATGGCTTGACAACTGTTATTGCTATAGTAAAAGTACAAGTATCCATATATGCCAATAACAGCTAGGATATGTTCTATCTTCTATCACAAAAACACTGCTTTCGTTCCATTCACTAAACCAAGCCATTTCGGAGCCAGGTTGCACGCTATTTACATAATGTTATGATATCATTGCAGGACTCAGCCGTTGCCAAGGTGATTAGAACTCATCTGACATCCAAAATACATTTCATATATTTAGTTGGAATTACGGTGAGCGCCATTACTTCCACAGTGTGTGTTTTAATAGCCGAGTGCGAATTGAGGCCAGACGCGTGGCCAGAATTTATGTCCGTTTGGCGTTGTAAAAATGTCCTTTGCAGAATAATATCACCTGGAACAAGATGACCGAGGAAAAGTGTGTTTGTAATTGACTGAAATTTAGTTTTGAATTTGTAACGGCTGATACTTTAGTAATGCCCTTCAAAAGAACTTATGAATGTGTGCTCTTGGTGGATTCTTTATTTTGTTTTATTTTTTTCTATATTGAGTAAATGCCTGTGTTGCAATGTCAGTGTTATAAGCGTCATGATTAAACATTAAGAAATATTGTTGATGTATTCATTTTATTCCTTCAAGCAGAATCCATACATATTTAAAATACGTACATTTCTTAGTTTACATGACCTTTAGTACATGTTGCCTTACAGATAGAGAGAAAATCTCTTCAATTTTTTGTTTCAAATGTTTGTGTATATATAATTGTGCAGGAACTATGATGAAAGAATAAAAACATTACTAGCATGCATGGATATAACATATTGACCATTGTATTGGCTAAACTGTCAATTTGAGCCACTCCAAAGTGCAGTGTTTCAAAAGGACATAAGTGCAGTTATTGATGCGCCCTCGTTGAAAGCGTCAGCATCGCTGGATTGTATTGTTAACCACATTTACTTTAGGTCAGGGCCACATAGATTTATCTGCCTACCTTTGTAATCTGCTCTGGGTCATTGTAACTCACTACGATCCAAACTGTGGGTTCTATCCATATATTGTATTTGGAAAATATGTGCATTTATTCTCATAGTGTCTTTGTAAGTGTGACAGAGGCTATCTGACCGATCAGGTGCTCTCTGTCCCCGAATGTGGCTTTGACTAGCAAATAGCACAAGCAAGAATCAGTTGCTCTCTCTCCTGATTGGGCTACTGGTTTCTATGAGGTGGGCATGGACTTTCCACACATACAGGTAAACTTGTCAAATCAACTTTTTTCTGGTGAAAGCCACACTTTGTGGGTGAAGTTACATTAATTTTGTCCATTCCTATTATAGACTTACATACACACAGATCGGATGATCTCAGAGTAATCACAAACCTGATGAAGTATAGATTATTTAGAATTTTTTTCTATTTCTAAATACTATCCACATTAGATTAAGTTGTTCTTCAAACTAATGTTGAAGAATACGGTACACATTTGGACACACTTTCTCAATCAATGAGTTTCCTTTCTTTTGACTGTAGATTCACACCAGGCTGTGTAGGGGCTATTTGACCAATAAGTAGAGTGATGGGTGCTGAGCCAGATGACCTGACCTCCACAGTCACTGGACCTGCACCCAAACCAGATTTGGGGTTTTGGAGTGAGGTGGACCACAGGGTGAAGGCGAAAGGGCCAACAAGTGTTAAGCATCTCAGGGAAGAGAATGCCAAAAGTGTGCAAAGCAGTAATCGGAGCAAAAAGATGTTACTTTGAAACCTAGAATATAAGACATATTTTCAGTTGTTTCATACTTTTTTTTTTTTAGTACGTACATAATTCCACCTGAGTGAATTCATAGTTTTGATCCCTTCAGTGTGAATCTACAATGTTCATGGTGATGAAAATAAAAATAAACTAATAATGAGAAGGTGTGTCCAAACTTTTCGTCTGTACTCTAGGTTTTCCTGAAATTGCCACGGCAGCGGCACAGTAGCAAATTGGAGTTTGCATGTTCTACCCGTGTCTGCGTAGGTTTTCTTCAGTTGGTCTGTGTTCCCCAACCCCATACTTGTGATGAAAAAACAGCAAAAGTAAGTCGACTTTTACTTCAACGCTGATGTTTTACGGCTTTGTTTTCTGGCATTCGTCTGCGGCTTGGTCAGCGAGTGTTAGAGGTAGCGTTACCAGCCTCATAGCATTGTGTTCAGCTCGGAGAGGGCTTTCTAATGGTGTGCTGACAGCATGGCTACTTATTGTTTTGAGGGCGCTTGTGACGCCAAAGCAAACATTTGTTTCGACATGTGCTTTATGACGATTTGTCAGATTGTGGTTTGTTGTTTGAACCTGGGTCTGTTGAACTGAAATTGAAGTGGATAATGTTGTAGCTGAGAGTTGTCCGAACACGAGGATGTGAAACATGTGATTGTCAGTTGATGTATATGTCAGCTATGGTCCGGACAAGCTGCAGCAAGGGGGGGCGGACCCCGAATGGGGCGCAATCGGGCTTAAGAGGTTAAGTGAGCATCATGCACAATGTATATTGTTGTTGTGTTTTTTTAAACCTTGTTAAAATGGTGGTACTACTTTACTAAACAGACTTGGAGACAGACTTTGTTTTCAGCCTCATCCATGCTTCACACAGGCACAAATCTGAATAAATTATTTGTTTCAAAACGTGGCACAAAACTTTCAACTATCATGTCAGGGACAGAGCTGTTTTCTACTTTGAAGAAAAAAATTCAATTATTTTCATTTTTTTTATTTCTGTTTTCAATTTCACCACTTCCTGATCATGGTGATGTGTATTAAAAAATCCACAATAGTTCAGTTCAGATTATGTATTTTAGCTCAAAGCAATACAAAAACATTTTAAGTGCTATATAGAGCTCAAAAGGAGTAGGCAGGAGTTAAATATATATTCATAAGCACCTACCCCTGCATTGCATAAAGAAATTAAATGATCTAAGTCAAAATAGATTTTATCACCATCCACAATTCCGAGATCTAACTCATCCCACTATAATTATTCTACTGTACATTTATTTTGTGTGAATCAACCCAGCATAGTATTAAGAATTCCCTTTGAACGTGCCGTCTCTGATCAAACCTGACACACTTTGGTTGTTCATCCTTCTGACTTGTCAAAGAATCATGAGTTGCCCGCGGCCAGAACAACACCTACATCTCGCTCTGACGCGTTGTTCAGAGCTGGAGCTGTTTGTAGCCGTCAGCAGCAGACAGCAGGTCCTCCCCAGAGCTCAGAACATCCACCAGGACCCTTCCTAGAAACCCAGCTCGCTCTTCTCACCAAAGAAGAATCAAGTCAAAAAGCCTGTGAGCCTGCACCAAGCCTCCAAACAGCGGATGTATGAATCATTTCTATGTATTGATTGTTTTAATGCCGGTTGTTCTAATAGATGGAGTGATCTCTGCGCAAACCCAGTCTCCCATAAAAGAATACATCCCAAAAGAAATGACCTCTGTTTGCACATGCACCAGTCTGCACGTAAACAGAGGAATGGGACTGAACTCTTTTGTCTCCAAACTGGTCAGTCATTTCCCATTTACAAGAAAAAAGTGCATGTAATGTTAAAAGTTTTGTTGCTAACAGGAAGCAACATAACAAACCCTGAAAACATATCCTCATTGGCAAGGGTAAACATAACACCTCTTGAACTCGCTCCCACTGCCCATTAGAAACTCTGACTCGCTACCAATCTTTAAATCAGTAATCAAACCCCATCTTTTCAAACAAGCTTTTCCATAAACCCCTTTAAAAAAAAAAAAGTTCCCTATGTGAACAGTATTTGAGTGTCCAAAAGAGCGCTATAAAGGTTTGATGTATTATTATTATTATTGTTATTATTATTATTATTATTAGTATCATTATCATTATTATTATCTATGTAGCATATTTGATCATAACTTAACATTTGGATTTTAAAGGAGCAATATGTAAAAATCTGGCCAAAAGTGGTACTGCAGTCACAGTCAATATTTTGTAGTCCTCTCCCACTCTCCCTGACTGGTTGCCAGATTCACACCAAATCCAGCAGCAAACACAGGGAATTATTTTATCAGTTGTTTGTCCGTCTCCATTCACATTGCCATGACAGCCGTGCTAATGCTGAATGAATGTTTTGATTAATGTTTTTTTATTATTATAATTTGGACATTTGAGATAAAAAACAAAAACAAAATAAAAGCAATGTAATTATACATAGTTTATGCAAAATAAATAAGAAATTGATGTCCAAAATAGGAGTGGGAAGAATGGATGTTGGAACGTATTTCTTCAGCGTATCAACATCAGGGTTTGCTCAAGAGGATATCACCTTTCAATTTTATTTATTCCCTATTTTTTAGACAAACATGTAAAAGTCCCACATCAAAAAGAGACTAACGTTATTTTAATTGGGGTACATGTGGTCTTAAATGATTATTTTTACAATTAAGCTATAATCTGCAAAAAAACGTCTTGACCTTCATCTTTTACCGTTTTTAGAGCAATCTGTCATAGAATGTGATAACATGCAATAAATACAAAAAGACATAGACCGGGATCCTGCATCGTAAGCGCGCAGTTTAGACCACTAGGCCACCGGTTCACACGAACAAAGACACCGTGAAGAACGCACTCAAACTAGAAAATTCTGCATCACACGTAAACTTTTATCAGCTGTCTCAATTGTTCAAAGGCATCCCGATATAAATCCTCGTTTTAGTCTTTGTTTTGTCATTAATTATTTGAGAGTCATAACAAGACCTTTTTTAGTTCTACGCCACATGTTATTTTACCACTGAGATTAATGAGCCGCGCGGAGTTCTGGCAACCCGATCACAGACTTACATGACACTTCCTGATTGGCGAAACGGCGGAGGGTAGGACATCAAAATCAAAACAATAACAACTTTTACGGGTCGTAAAACTAATTTTGATAATCAAATATCTCGGCTGAACTACTGTTATCAGTTAAAGATGAATTCGAAAAGAGTATGATTTAATAACGCCTTTTGAAATATTCGGGTCATTTAATGATGACTTGACATGCAAATATTACATATTGCTCCTTTAATTGAAAAAAAAATAAAAAATTGGTACATTATCGGTAACTAATCATCATCTGCAATGTTTTGACAACTTTCCATCAATTCAGTTGTTGCAGCCATAAAATAAAATGATAATTTGTGTTACAAAGCTTAAATCACATGTCTGTATAATTTTCAAACTACAGAGAAAAGATGGTACACTTTGATCCTAAATGTTGGAAATAAATCAAACAGCGCTTGCTTTGAGACTCGATCAAAGCCTTGCACTTCACGTACAAGTAAACGTGGTCCACAGGAAGCGGAATCATTATTGCGGGAGCTAAAAGATAATTAAGTCAGTACAATTTATTTATATAGCGCGTTTCATTGACAAGAGCCATAAAGCGCCATGTGCATACAGTTCACCTCGATCACATGTGTTCTGTCATTCTCCATCTCTCTTCCAAAAAATGTATATGTGCTTTTGAGTTTTCTGTTAATACATTTATAAATCCCCATGTTATTGACCTTTAAATTCTAAACGCCAAATTGAATAACATAAGCTGCTCAACTCAACCCTCCATAAAAACTCCATGTTGATTTTGCACTCACTCAGGAGGAGAAACAGGCAGGATAGGATTGAAGAAATACTTTAAAACCTAACAGAGATTTACCTCCAGTCTGCGGTCAGCCCTCTGCAGCAGGTAGCCCAGCTCGAGGTCCTGCAGGTCGGTCTCAAAGCCCAGATAGTTCTCAGTGGAGTCCACCACCATAGGTCTGCAGCCTCCGGGCGTGAGCACAAAGCCCAGGTTACACGTCCCACAGCGGGTGTGGTTGTCTGAGGCACAGGAGGCACAGGCCGAACCCTCCCCCACATCACAGGGGGCGGGAAGCTGACAGGGCAAGTGGTCCGCCTTACAGCTGCAGGCGTGGAGCTCCTCTGAGAAGGTGCCCAGCTGGTTATTCTCCGAGCAATAGAGCAGCGACTGCAGGTGACTCAACCAGTACGACTGAGGCCTGCGAGGGAGCAAAATACAGAAGTCAAGGCAAGACTATGGTAAATTGTATATATACTCAGGGGTGTCAAACTAGTTCCAGAAACGGCTGGTGTGGGTTTTAGTTCCGAGCTAAGCAGGAGCACGCAAAACTGGACTCATGTAATATTTGTCATTTTCATCCCCTTTATTATTCCATTTCTGGGTTGGGGGGGGTGGCAATTAGGCACGTGGGGGGATCAAACCCATGACCATTAGGTTCAGAGACCAACGCTCTATCAACTGAGCCAATGTCGCGCCATCTGAGTCTGGTGTGCTACTGCTCAGGTTGGAACTAAAACCTGCAGCCACACCAGCCCTATCTGGAACTGGTTGGACACCCTTGCGTGAATTATACCTATATGAGAGTTTTGCTTCATTCAATTGTGAAAAATCTGAACTGGAAACTGCCAAAAATGTTAAAATTGTAATTGCAAGTTTTACAATTTTTGCGATTTCCGACACTTGAATCAAAACATAAGACACCAATAATGTGGAGGTAAAAGTGAGAAGGGCTGTAGAAAATAAACTTGTTCATTCACAACTCAACTTCAATTATGATGAAAAAAAACTGTTTTTACCTCTACTCACTCGTCACAGTAAAGGCTGAAGTAATATGCAAAGCTGAATGAGTTAAGCAATAAAAATAATGTCACTTTTTCTTTTGTTTTTAGTTGAGATATCTAAGTAAACTCTGATCGAAATTCAAAATTGTTCAAGATTGTGGGAAAAACAACATTTCTGATTTTTTATTTGTCCAGTACTACCTGAATGGCAACTCAAAGTGTTATTCACATGAACAAATTCTCTATACACAGATCAATATCCATTATATTATGTACTAAAAATATCACAAACACTTCTGTTAGAGGTCCTTCTAAAAAACCCTGAGAGCCAATGATTCACTGCAATTAGCTGTAGACATCCATTTGTATTCAAAGTGTATTCGACATCATTAAGCATAATGTATATTTACGCCATGTTGACAAAATGCGTGAAAACAGACACACAGCAAAGAAACGGCACATTTGAGACATAATTAGCCCTCAGAGTAATGCCCTTTGTAAAACGATGGGGCGTTAAAAGCAGAGTCTAATAGTCTTCATAATTCCGCTGATGGCTGCTCCTGCGCCCAGAGGAATATGAGAATGAAGAGTACTAGTGGTAATGAGAAAACAGCGTTACTCCAATGCTTCCGGGCTTTTCACATGTGCAGCATAATCTTAATGAAGTCAGAGTGACAATTATCTCGACGGTAGTTTGAAGCAATTCCACACGCTTTTTTAAGATTATTTTCTGTGGACTGAATATGTAAGGACGCCCTTCAGGGATACAAGTCTTAAAAAGGAAAGTCATTTGGATTGTGAATATATTTGATTGGTCTACAGTTGATGTTTTTGAGCTCTAAAACAGCTGCATTATAGTAATCATGCAACAGTCAGAGTCCAGACTATGGAACCTGGAAGTCCTCTTAAATGTTTTTAATTCTCAGGTCTCTGCACTGGCTTCCTGTGGCTCTGCTTGTGTACAAGTCTCTCCATGGCCTCGTACCAAAGTACATCCAAGACATTTTAGTCCTGTATGAACTATCCGACTCTGAGGAGCACAAGGACTGGCCTCCAGTTGACTCTGGGCACGTTCCTGGGGATCTGTGACACGCTGCTACTTCTATCTAGGATGAAATGGTTCAATTTAGCCGTGCACAAGGGCAGAAGGTCCTGGGTTCAATTCCACCTCCAGACAGGGCATTTCTGAGTGAAGTTTGCATGTTCTCCTTGTGTCTGCTTAGGTTTCCTCCAAGTGCTCCAGTTTCCCCTACCACCAAAAACGTGTACAATAGTGTCCCTCTCTCCGGGGCCAGGATAGCCCTGAAAAAGAGATTCTGAAATCTCAGTGGGAAAATAATATTATGATCTGATTTTATCTACCTTCAACACTGCAGTTTCACTAGCCCTTTGGACCATTTATTATGAATATATTTTATATGTATGTTTTTTTGTACAGAATTTCGATAATGGGATGTTAGAATTTAATTTGATATTAATCAATATATTGATCTAAGACTTTGATACACACAAACTGCATAGATTTACACCTAAGTCACTGTAAACATCATTACCAAACAGCTCCAAAAGCAGCAGAGCATTGGATTTTGTTTTTAATCAGTCGTTTGTTTACTCGGCCAAAATCTCTAAAGCCAAACAGTGGAAGTAAACAATGGCTGTATAGTCGCGGTCGAAACAAGTGAACAAGTGGTAGTAGAGCTTTGGTGGCCTCAGGTCCATAACCCTGTCATCCAAATAGACCATTCACTTTTAAGAGTTTTATTGATGTATTTATTTTGTGTTCTAAGACTTCTAACACTTGACTTTGTAGTCTGTGATTCCCTCTGAGACAAATGCTGTTGTAAATGTGGGGTCGAACAAATGGATTTCATTTGAGAATAGTGACTACTCAAACATGCAGGGATCAGTCTAAAACAGGGAAGCTCAAATGTAGTTTAGAGAAACAAAATCAATACATAGAAGTGGGACGAGGGCCAAAACTGAATCGACAACAGGACGTTACATAAAAGGTTAGTTTGATTGTGGGCTGAAATCTTTGTAGGCTGAACTATTAAACCGAAATAGCCATAGCTTGAAAAGTTGAAAGTATCTTTGACGTAAGGACAAAAAAAAAATTGAACCTTGTTTCATTGGGGGATATTTTATTCCTAATAATAAATAATTATTAACATCATAATGAATATATCTCACTTTGAGTGCAATGAGTCTGTAAAAAATAATTTCAATGGTCAACCAACAAATGTACAACATATCTGATCCACATCATCTTGATATGGAACTTGTCATATCAAGTTCCATATCACAGTACAATGTGTGATATTGGCTTCCACTCATATCTGTTCATATCTGTCAGATAATCCGTGACCAAAAGTGTTGCATTTTAAAAACTAATTCTCAAAACTAATTCTGGAAGACAATCAACTGTGCAATCAATCCCGTTGTCACTGGATTTACCAGACATGGCCAAAAGTGGTACTGCAACCTCTCCCACTCTCCCTGACTCAGGTTTCCAGATATGCAGACAAATCCAACTGGGACCATAAAATCTGACATAAATCCCCGTTTCATTCCTTGTTTGTCATTAATGATTTGAGAATCATTTGAGAACGAGACCTTTTTTAGCTCTGCAGCCACATGCTACTTTACCAGTGACATTAGCCTAATGCTGTGAGTTCTGATTCTGTTCAGCCAAAACATGTACGGAAAAAGCATGGATTATTAACGCCTTTTGACATAATAGGGCCATTTACTGATAACTTGACATGAAAATCTTACATATTACAACTTTAAGGTTGAGGTTACAATTAAGTCCAAGACCAACTTGTAACAATGATCCTGGACTTTTAATTTCTTGGTGACTTCAGATCGTGTATTCTCCCGCATGAAAACACCTCACAAAATTGCTTCCTCCGTCACCTATTCCACCTCAACTTTGACAATCCAAAGTCTGAATCAGATAAAAAAAATCCATGCCCTTTAAATCCTGTAGAGATAAATAACAGCCGGTACATTCCTCCGTCAAACCCATTACTTTTTTAATAGTGTTTGTTCTGTACCTCGTGGAGCCGGCGTGCGGGTGTTATGAAAGCGGTCGATATGAAAGTACAGAGACCAAAAAAGAAGAAACCGTAAGCTTCCCAGAGAGATGCGGCATTCTTTGATCAACCCGCGACACAAACATTAAACACTAGCTTTCGCCGCGGGGCACGAAATCGCAGACACAGGCACGCTAATATCCCTATGTAGGTTGCGGGTTTGATTCCTGCTTCTTGCTCTTTCCTCGCTGTGATGTGTTTATGTCTTTTATCCCTGCATCTTAAGTGGAGCCCTCTTTCAGAATGGGCTCCGTTGGTTTCGTTTCTTGGAAGAAAAACACAGCTCTTTCTTTGACGTCTCGCGGTAAACGTTATGCTAATCTCAAATTGCCTGCTGGATTGTGTAAACTGAATGTGTGTGTGCGTGTGTGTGTTGGTGTAGCGGTGGAACGATAAAAAATGTATCCGAAAACAAGAAAAAGAAAAGTATTTGTGGGAAATATAAATGTAGGCTTGTGTTGATTCGTGCGTCCTCCATTGATTTTTTTTTTATGTTGTGTTGTAAAAGTCAATGCAGCTAAACTGATTGTTATACAAATGTTGCTTTTCAAAGTGTTTTGTTACCCCAGGGGGAAGTTAAAGCCAGTTTAAAAGTGTTCTACCCCAAAAATTGTCAAACGATCTGTGTTCCCGTGTGGATTATTTGTTTGTGAAAATGCCTCCAACGGCATTTCAGAAAACGCAGACATCCTCGGGTCATTCTTGTCTCCAGGCTGTTTTCAATACAGCTTCTTTGTTTGGCTTTTGGATATATGGCTCACTCTGCACTAAACTGTACATTGCGTCAATTTTACTCCAAACGAAAATAAAATAAATGTATGAACCAAATATTTGTGTACCTAAAAAATCTTTAATACCACGTAGCTTATAGATATTCACAGGATTATCTTGGTTGGCAGATCCAAAAACCATTTCAAGAAAAAAGGATGCCTTTCCAAAAATTTTGGGGACACAATTGTTACATACAGGACATGTCAGGTTGGAGAATTTGTCAATGAAAAAATTAACAGGATAGGGAAGTCTATTTAATGGCTAATGGTTGGGGATATAACTATAAACAATCTCTAATTATGGTTTCTGCAGAAGCATTTCATTCAATAACTGCAGACAAACTGGGCGTTATGGACATAACACATTATGTCCAAATAAATAAATAAGTAATACATGGCCCATTTGTCCCATTAGAAAGAGTCTTGTGAAGGTAAAATGATGTAAACAACCTTCCTTCATTATGTATGCTATATTGTTTATCCTTGTAAGAAAGTGGCCTGAGAGTCACTATTTGGCACTTTGGGTTGAGACCTGACTGGCTGAGCGAGGGT